TTATTCTTAGGATAAAACATCATTGTGGCTGTATACTAATTTTTGTCTATGTTTTATGCATTTTCAAAACATACTTTTTAAAATCTTAGTCATAAGGAACTCCAGGATACATTGTGACATTACATAGGAGAAGCCTGTGCTTATTTTTAGAAAGCCAGATCATTAATATTGCAAAGCATATTGCACTTTAAACATGAGCTATGTAAATACAATTTCATTGTCTCTACTAGAAATTCAGCATCCTGTATTTGGTATGTTACACATCTTTAGAATACCTTTAGCACTTCTTATTGTAACAAAAGTGAAATGCCTTTTAGGGTGAAGATAAAAAAAATTGACAGGGTTGGGGACAAAGGACTAAGACAGGGCTGGGGAGACTTCAACGAGACAGGGCTGCACTGAGACAACCATAAAAGACAGGAATGCAGTCACTCATTGCAATGTTGGAAAGGAAGAAAGAGGAGTTGCTCACAGACACAGCAGGTCTACTCTGTATGGAGCGAATTTTCATTAGAATGGAACTGACCTTGGCACTTGCGAACACTAGCATTTGGAAGACCCCACTACAGCAAGTAATTAGCAAGCAATAAGATAGTGCCTTAACATAGTTTAAGTTTTTCAATAATTAAGGCAGGGAAAAAGTTTCCTACATTAAATTTTTCCTTAATTTGTTTCTTGTTTGCCATGCTGATCTGTTAATCCCTCTGTGTGACATGAGCCTCTGAGTGCAATGAGACATACAGTTATCTTACATACATTTATTGAACACCGAGAACATTTTCAAAAACTTCAAAAAGCAAGATTTTGCTATTATGAAAAGAATACTTGTTTAGAAAAAGCAATTCTTTGCTTTCATTTTTTTTCCTGCTTAATCAGACAGGACATACAGTAATAACGGCTAAACCTCATGAACACATACAGTATAGAGGACTGCAGAATGACACCCTTTAATGCAGCAGATTCTTCTAAACAGTATTCAAGTCCAATATCAATATAATAAAAAAGCATATTTTTTATATCTGTTTTCCTCATTTTCACATAGTAAAAACAAGATACAGTAGGTGTACCTTCATATCATGTGCTTTTACCGTTGTCCTTTAGTTGAAATGCTGTACACCTGCTAACCTTTGCTGCTGTTTCTGGGACACTGCACTGCTTTCCTCTGATCATTCGAGTGCCCTAGCTCAGCATGCTCAGTGATCCTCACAAAACATGACCCTCTTTTCAAAATCTTTTGCTGTCTTTTCACTTTTGTACCTTGAATGTCTTCATATTTTTTGTTTCTTAAAAATCACTATCACTATGAACGTGTGGTGATGTGGTGGTAAAGCACATTGCATGTACTGTCTTCCATCCATCCATTTTCTGACCGCTTTATCCTACTTAGGGTTGCAGGGGTGCCCAAGCCTATCCCAGCACTCAACAAGCGCAAGCAGGATACACCTGGATGAGACATCTAATCCACAGACATGCAGACACACACATCTTGGGCCAATTTTCCCAGAAGCTAATTAACTTACCAGGATGTGCTTACTGTGGGAGAAAACCAGAGCACCTGGAGGAAACCCACACGAACATGGGAAGAACATCATAACTCTATGCAGAGAGCACCCCAGGTCCAGAACTGGACCAGAGCATCAGTACAGTGAGCCAGCAATGCTAATCACTGAGCCACCGAGCCACCCTTTTATAAAGGTAAAATACTGGAAAAAAGTACATATACAGTGTCATGGGTAGTAGTACTGTACAAGTAGAAATGCCAGACAGCCCTCATGGAGTCTCTGGGCTGACTGGTGCCAGATCACCAGCTGGTGACAGCCTATGAGCACTACAGCTGATAGAAAAGAACGTGCAACTACTGAGGTCTGGTGCTCTGATGATTTTTACAAACTGAGCTAGTGACTAGGGATGCGGTGAGGGTGGAAAGGGGGTCTATCTCTGGCTTGGACAGTCTTTTCCTCAAGCATTTTAATACTCCTGGAATTTATAGGGTAACTCTTACCTTAAGAAAAGCCTTCACTCTTTTTTGTTGTTTTGGAGCTTATGTTCAATAGCTCTTAGATTCTTCCTGCTCATCCATGAAAAGACTCCACAGCCACACATCCACATCCCAAGACAGCGTATATATTTCAAGGTGTGCAACAATCATGCTCCTACAACTCCAAATCCTACCATAAGCTGACAAATCTGTATATCTAAAACAAACTAGCAGTAGGTGAACATGAGGATAGGAAATGGCATTAGTGCCGACTACTGAGTCCTCAGAAAGCAAATCTTCTTGCAGTGAAGGATTCTTTCAGCCCCCTACCAACCAACACAAGTCTTCTTTTTTTAGTCAAAGCTTTAAGTGCCTGACTGTTGAGCTGCCTGGCTGAGAGGTTAAATGATAAAAGTTAATTCCCAGCTGTGAAAGAGACAGGGTTTTTTTCTTATAAGCTAGCATGAAATCAGTCTGCTTTCAATGTCTTGAGGCAAGGTTATTTAAAAAAAAAGAATTTTAGTTCTAGTTCTAATGTCACCATATTCCCCTCAATGCAATTCTGATCGTTTCCTTGCCATCGCAGACTGCTCTGGAGCGAGGAGATAAAAAGTCAATCCATTCCATGGCAGCTGATTTGTTGGCATCCTTCAAGAACCAGTTTGAAGAGGTTATTGAATAACTAAGCCTCCTGTGATGTTACAAGAGAGAAGAGACAAACGATATGGTAGTCCTGTATAAAAAAAAGCCAGGTTGAATTTGATGTGCATTGAGTACCTAATAAAAGTTTGGAGAGAAAAGCAACACCGAGGTAAAGAGGGTAAACATCATTATTTGTTCTTTTTCACACTGAATGCTGAATTATTAAGGAGTGTATTTAGGTCAGCACTGATATTCCAGATTGTGTGGAACAAGAGGACATGCTCTTCAGATATTATTATCTGAACACTATTGAGCATTTCCTTCAATATTTCATGTTTGACCTCTCACAGACTTTTTTACATTCTGTTTAACATTCTGGAGAAACAGAAGAATATTCTTAAAGTATATCAAAAGCACCATCACAATGTTGCTTTCCCATAATTCATGCTGGTATTTGAGTTAGGAAAAAAAAAGATTAAAAAACAGTCTCAGCTCAAGGTTACACCATCAGAATAAATTATTCACCCATCTGTTTTCTAACCTCTTCTTCCATTTTGGGGTAAAAGGCAGACAGGCTCTAACACAGAGACACTCACAAGAGAGCCAATTTTACAAGAAGCCAATTATCCCGCCTGTATGTTTTTGGACTACGAGATCTCCACAAATATGGGGGACACATATAAACACCACACAGATGGCACCCTAGGAATTGAACCAAGGACCCCAGTGCTGTAAGGCACCAATGCAAACCCAAGAATAAATTAATCACTTCTAAGTTTTCTATCAATGTTGTTTATACTGGAACTGTTATACTACTTTGAGAGTGAGATGTCATTTATCTGTGTCAGCTTGTCTACAAATCAACATAAGCTCTCCTTATAAGTACAGTACAAAGTATGGATTCTGTGTGTGATTCTTCTCGGAGAAACAGTCTTAGTGGTTTCATGCAAGGAATGCTTGCGGAATGTTGTGTCTAGCCTCCCCAAATAAAGTATCTAGTGAGACCAGAGCAGAGAGAGTCTTTATTTTAGCATTTCTCCTCTAGATACTGTCTACAAACAAAGTAAGCCTTTCAACAAGCAAACATCAAGATACCACCAAGGAGTCCTTCCCATACCTTTTGTTACAAGCTGTATTAACAAAAACAGATGCATTACTGTAAAAAGTATGTGTTACCTACAAATCAACAAGTACAATGATAAGGACTTGCTACCTACAAATTCCCTTCATTATACACTTAAGGAAAACTGAGTCATTTCTTAGTTATTTATAAAAAAAATCAAATGAGTATTAAAAATCTGAGGTACTTGACCATGTCCACTTATTCTGTAACAATGGAACCAAATTCCTTTACTCCAGCTCCAGCTGTGAACCTTGTAACTGAATGCCACTTTCTGTCAAGGCCAGTAATTTCTGGTTAAATCCATCATTCACAGCTCTCTGTACAGCAATCGTCCTGTACTTGTTGTTTATACCGTTAAAAAAGATCCATGAGCAGCACTTTTTGTCAGCTGAGTGATTAAAATAGACTTTTGAAAACTTCTTCAAGCACAAACATTATTTAAACAAATTACATCTTGACGGCAAGAATAAAGAGCATTAGGTACATTACTTTAATGTTCTTAAACAACATTTTAACAAGTTTTCAATTAATAGCTTGAACGTTTTAGTGACCCCCAACTATTTTGCACACCTGTCTGTTGCTGAATTCTTCTACATCCAAAACACAATTTACCTTATTCACAAGAATGGAAATAAGATCCAATACAGAACTCCTGTCCTACCAGTATGCCCGGGACATACTGTTAATTTATGCCTTAATGATCATCTGTGTAAAATATACATTCAGCACATCAGCCATTTTACTTGCATTGTCTACAATAACAGGAAGGAAGGTAAGTACAGTAAGTGCATTTTATTCTTCTGACCCCTTTCCCAGATGTGCTGAGTTCACATTTGTATCAGAGCTACTTCAGAAACTGTGGACTAATGAAGAAGGGCCCCTCTTAAGTCCTTGCGAAGTGGGAGAAAATCATATTAACAGGGGAAAACTCAAGTGGAGGTGGGTAAAATGTGGGGGATTCTACACAGAACAATCCCCAGTCATGAATCAAACCCAGGAAGCGTGAGCAGTGCTATCCGCTATGCCATTCAGGTATACGAGTTTGCATGACGCCTTACAACGCAACACAATAGATTATATGTCATGTGTGCAGGTACTGTATATGCTCAATACAATTATTTTAAAGCAGAAGGATTTTCTTTTTTGTCAAACATTACAGAATGTCATGAGATTACCTGTCACGTAGAACCTTAGATTTTGAGCCACTAGAAGAAAAAGCGCGGCCCTGAAATGAGACAGTCATCCTGTATTTCCTACCTCTGTGAGAATATGTCTCTGTAAGGACTGCCGTGCTGCATGGCGATTCCATATCCTCTGTCCGCCACGTTATTCCCAACCGTATAGAAAGAACAGTCTGGATCATTAATGGCAACATATTCCAAAACTGCTGCATCCCACACAAAGGCAAAGTTTCCATATTTCACCTGCCAAGACAAAAGATAGAAGACTTCAGTCTGTCTGAAGACTCAGAACTCACGTATCTTTGAGTAAAACAGGCTGTCAGACATTATGGACTTTATCAGGGGTTTAAAACCAAAAACCTGTATTATATTTGGGGAAAAAGTCAAGGTTTTGGGAGATGGGTGTTTTACTGTCTTTCAAATTAAACAATAAGGATATCCAAAATACCACCTGTCTTTGGTAGTTTTATACCTTTCATAAATGTACAGTAAAACATTAATTTTAAGAAAACTTTGCAAAGTTAATTGTGAATTTGCTTTTCTAAAAAATAATCACAATTTTATATTGCACCGTTTCGTGATCCATCATCTCAAAGCTCTGTACAATAAAACAATCAAAGAAAAGAGATAGTTATATACAAATTAAAACAACAAATTAAAATTAAAACTTGCCAGATCCGATATGGGCTGAGAGATGATTCTACAGTCTTGGAGTAACAGAATAGAAAACACAGAATGCTTAATTTGTGTTTTTTTAACCTTTCCTGCTACAGTAGGTAAGAATAAAACCAAATCAATGAAAGCTATGATATATAGTTAACAGAAATTGACGGTATGTTATCTGGAAGAGATTCTGTTTATTTTGTGCTAGGATTCTTCTTTTAAGAGGTTTAACTACATTTTTTTACTTTGTATTCAGAATTACAAATCAGTACCAAAGAGCTCGCATTTTTTAACAGAACAGAAAGTGTAAATTGTGAAATTTATTCAACTGTAAAGATCTACTGCATGCACATGAATATTTTTTCTTCAGGGGTAAAGTAGAATAGAAGGAAACAACTGGAAAAGAAAACTGTTTCAGAAACACTGTAACAAAATACGGACTGGAACGGAATGAACTTGGTGCGAAATGGGTATAGACTAGCATAGTGTGAACATGGTGTGGATTGAGCACAGGCTGGCCTGTTACACTCTGCACTCACATTTCCAACGGACATGACAAAAGGTGTTTGATGACGCACTTCCTCTGTCTCTTCCTAAGTAGGTGATTGGTCCTGTGTAGCAGTGACTGCACAGGAGGTGGTTGTGTGATGGTGGGATCACTCCAGAATCAGACTGCTTACTTTAGATTTTTAAGTCTGAAAGTTAGCTTTCCTTAAGTGATAGATAGATGATGTCAAAAACCATTGGCACATGTGTCACAAATTGGAAGTGTAACAAGACAGAGAGAAATGTATTGATGGCAAGTTTTTTTGGACAGCAGTAGGACATTGTGCCTTCCCATTGTGTCTAACATAAGTGATGTTAGCGCCCTGTAGTGTGTAGAGCTGTTAATCATAGGGATGGTTTATTCACATTCTCATACAGTATGTATGTGCATGTTTTCAGCACACAGTAGTTTGGATGGCTAAACTAACTTATACAGCACCCATTACTAACTAACTTATACAGCATTTGTTAGGTGTGATTAGGGCACTTCATTCAGTGTGAAATGAGTGTTTATTAGTTGATGGCCTGCATTTCAAGTTGCAATGAAAGACAGTAAGGGATTTCTGCAACAGTCAAAAAAAATTCTCTTTGCACACTGTCATTTTAAAATAGAACACTAATATGGAGAATCCCATGTTTCACGGTGGTGAAAATAAATGAACAAGCCAAAAATCATTGCCAAGTTAAACGTAAGCAATTGCAGAAACAACTCTTTTTCAGTCAGATGCAAATTACTTGTTAGTTCGCTTAAACAGATGCCTTTTTTTCTGTGCCCCAAATCTAATCTTTAGATCACAAGCCTATGTTTGTGAACAATTTACATAATAGCGCTTAAATGAAAACTTGTATCCATTACCGTTTCTGCTTTGTAAGGATTCAATGTCTCTGTGCTAGCTTTTCTTTACCTATTGCTGGAAGAGGTGTTAGTGGGGCCAGAAAGGGGGCACTCACCCTGTGGTCCATGTGGGTCCTAATGCCCCAGTATAGTGATGGGGACACTATACTGTAAACAGGCGCCGTCCTTCGGATGAGACGTAAAACCGAGGTCCTGACTCTCTGTGGTCATTAAAAATCCCAGGGTGCTTCTCGAAAAGAGTAGGGGTGTAACCCCGGTGTCCTGGCCAAATTTCCAATTGGCCCTTACCAATCATGGCCTCCTAATAATCCCCTTCTATGAATTGGCTACATTACTCTGCTGTCCTCCCCACTGATAGCTGATGTGTGGTGAGCGTTCTGGCGCACTATGGCTGCCGTCGCATCATCCAGGTGGATGCTGCACATTGGTGGTGGTGGAGGGGAGTCCCCATTACCTGTAAAGCGCTTTGAGTGGAGTGTCCAGAAAAGCGCTATATAAGTGTAAGCAATTATTATTAATTATTATTATTATTTATTCTGAAGGAGTACTGCTTACAGGATTGCAGGTGAACATGCCTCACAGATTACAACACAGGGACCTGATTCTTGAGAGTCACTCTTGTACGTTTGATTGGTTGGCTTTGAATAATCAAAAAGTAATGGAATAATACTAATTATACTTATTAAGTAGAGAATTGCAAGTCAGAGCACAGCATGAACCAAAGCTAGAAGACAGTATTGTTCTCTCAACCAGGCTTTCTGGCGAAGATGGATAAATGAAGAGTATCCCAATTACAGAGGGATATTGTGTGCCTGCTGTTCCAAGCCTCACTAACTGTCCATCAGGCTCCCACAAATGTGCAAATTATCCTTGATTTCCTCTATTTCTATGTCTCTGAGGGGTGTCATGTTCCAATTAATCTTCACTCTGATCCCCTTTAACACAAGGAGCCTGACCTCCTTGTCTATTCTTATACTTGTCAGTGGTACCACTTCATGCTGATTAACAAGATTTGTACCTGAAGCAAAAGTAACTTAAAATTAATGTTAGAATTAAGATGCTACATTTTCTGTTTTGGACCAGGTGCTTGATACTCATCTTACAGCAAGGTTAGAGGCACTGTACAAAATGTATTCCACTACTTCAAAGCACAAATATTTCATATTATTAACATAACACATTTATCATGGTTTTTATAGCTTTACAGCAGCAAAAGAACTGTAAAGGATGATGTGCAGAGTCTTAGAGTTAATGATGGGCAAGCTTTAGAAGATAAAAATGAGATGGCTAATGTATTAAATGGATAAGCTGCTCAGGTGGTCACTAAAGAAGATAGTCAATGAGCCCCTGGCTGGGGAAAGACTAAAGTCTCCTTTAAAATGTATTAGAATAGAAGAGGTCCAGTAGAAGAGAAACAGGTATTAGAAGCACTAATCATAAAAATCTCCAGCTTGAAGGTATTAACACAACTTTAACAGAACTCTTCCAAGAGTCATTTAAGACAGATTAATATCAATTGACCTAATGTAGCACTCTTCCATAAAAAGGTGAAAAAACAAAACAAATCAAACAATAATGAGAACTGAACTGTGTGAATGCAAATATGATTGCAGGAGATGGTGGGCATGCATTTAAAAAAAGTCTGGCTTTGCTTTCCTGACATTCTACAATTTGGTAAACAAGCAGGATTTTATCAATAAACGATTTTAACACAGATCTTTACTACAGATTAATTATTAAATTGTGTTCAGAAAGGATTCAAGGAAAAGTATGATTTTGGATGGAGTACAGGTAATTGGATAGGAAGCAGAGAGTACAGATAAAGGGTCAGTGCTAATGTCAGGATGATGCAATTAAAAGGGTACTACAGGTATTCATATTAGGACTATTCCTCTCGCTAATGTAATGTGCATTCAGGAAAAGAATAGTTAAGCTGAACTCAGTACAGTTCAGATGGAGGAGTCTTCTTGCTTTTATTACATGTAAGTAAATAATAGTACTAAGCTAAAACATCATTTGCATGGAAGTTTGAGTTTAGAGCCTAGTCAACATAGATTTAGAAATTCCAGGTTTTGTTTAAGTAACCTGTTAAAGCACTTTGAATAACCAACAACAGTAATGTATACAAACGGACTATGAGATTTATTTTGACTTTTAGAAGGACCTCTCCTCTTCCTAATTTATAGCATTGAACTGGAGTCTGGTATAGTTAACTAGTTGGGTTTGCAGATGAGAACAGAATGAGGATTAAGAAAATACTGTAATCATAATGTTAGGCAAAAGAACTATGGAGTGAAGTATTATGAACACCTTTTGTTTACAGATTAACACAATATGTGACGATAAAATTATATGGATATTTTAAACTTGAAAACCTTGTTAAATTCGCATTTAAAGATATAGGATGTGGTGCTAAATAGCTTACAGTATAAATTATATACAAGAAACAGCTCTTTACTAAGACTGTTGAAGGTATTAGGCCTGCGAAAAACACTTTTTTTCTTTAAAGAATCTCTTTTTGAAGGAGTATTGTTCTTAAGATGCTGCAAGAATCTATTCATGTTAATTCATTTTCCTAGTGAAATGCAGCTGTATTCATACTTCAAATGAATGCGCATTTTCAAGCACAATATTCCATGAAGGTTGACAATTTCAAGGTCTATGTGTATTTAAACAACAAGCGAAAGTGGTCATGCCGTTATCTCAACAGCTGCAATTTAAAATATTTTATAATTCCTAAATAATTAAAACATAATTACAAGTCCTTCTTAACCTGGCTTATTTGGAGATATCAGCTATTGCTGTTGCTAAGCACTTTCTCTTCTGAAGCATGTTTCAGCTTAAAAAAACTTATTTAATTAAAAATACATTTTAGATTATTTAATATTAGGTGATAATACGAAACTAAAGACTTCTGGTTATCTTATCAGTGAAATAATAGGTAGAATGTCTTGACATTAGCAGAAAACATTTATCATTATAGAAAAGGGCCTGTGCCTCAATAAGGTGTGTCTGCTACCGATTTGTAAGCACACATTTACTGCTCTGTGGTGTTCATAGTGCACAGCTAAGGCAAACTATAAATAGAAGGAGGAATGATGTTTGTAACTTGTGTCAAATTATTTTTGCTCCATTTGTTTTTCTCTTAATTGGCCTGGAGTTATCTTTTAAGTCATAT